TGATGATGAGATTAATTTCATTTATTTGTTTGCAAAGTAAAACAGAAGAAGCTTGTCTGCCTTCCACGGGAAGTAGCTTTGCTTACTGGGACTACCTTCTTCCTACTGAATTTGAAAGGAAGCTTTTCAAAGGACTTGAAATCATGTCCCATCACCATGAGTAGAGATTAAGCTCTAGCACTGCTTCCCTACTAAATACAGCACAGCTAGGATTTCTCACACAAGATCTTTGTGGAAGATGTTGCTAAAGATGAAAAGCAAAGATTTTTATAAAAGGGTTTGCTAGTACTTCAGACTGCAAGGAAGAGTCTCCTTCGAGGATCCCAAGCACTCAGCAGGCAAAAAAGGAGACTTGAATACTTATAAAACAAAAGAACAAAACTGAAAAACCCCTCAACCTCACAACAAAGCAAATCAGTATTCAAAACTACTTTACAATCGAGGAAGGTGCAGATTAGTGGCATTGCACACTGTTAGATAGGTAGAGAAGAAATAAGGGGCTATTGGAGGGACAATGATATGCATTGCTCAGATTTATTAGATGCCGGGTACAAAGGGAACATGCCTGCCAATCATTAGGTTGAAGACATGTAATTGTTTAGATGGATATAAAGTTCCTACTTTCAAACCATATACATGTAGTACTCATAAAGAAGAATATGTATCTATGAACACGTATGTAAAAATTATAGCTATCTATGGGATGGGGATATTACTAAGGCACATAATGTCATTAGACTGGATTCAGTGCCTGAGATCAAAGAATTTCATGCCAGCTTTTGTCATAAAGCAAGTTTTGTGTCTGGAGTTCAGTTAAGCCTAGTCAAAGGAGTCACGATCAATCTGACCAAGGCAGAGGTCTACAATGACACCTATAGTTGGGATTTCTAGTGCCCAGTTTATCTCTCTTTTAAGTAGATCTCTAAAGCAGGCCAGATGAATTGTACCCTAAATGTGCCCTAACTTCTCTCCACCTATTACAAAGGGAGTCTGGGATGACTAGCTCAGACATTGATTCACTACTGATATTTTCCAGAAAGTACAACTCACATATGACTGATGATTTCAAGATAAAAACTGAAAATCTGGCACAGAGCTTTTGGTCATACTGCAATACCCACAGTCACAGAGATAGTGAGAATGATAAAGAATGTTGCTATCATCTTTGACTAGTGTTGCTATCATCTTTGACTAGTCAGCTGAAAACAACTCTCCCCTTCTGGCAAAGACATTTTTAATGCTATTCCCATCTTTACTACACCTCCATATTTTAATTATGTTTAAGAACTCTTCATTAGAGTCAGTTGAAGAAATCTGATGAACCAAAAAGCACTGTAGGCCAGGCAACTTTTTAGACCACTTGTCAGGCTCTTCCATTTAAATAATTCTTGGTTTAAAGTCCCCATTTTGAAATCTTCACAAATGCAGAGAAACGGAGCCATCTGACACCCCAAAAGTCTAACTCATTCTAATTCTTTGGTATTGTGAACAGAAATAAGCAAGTCTGGCAACATTTACTTTTGTAGGACTGTGTTTCTCTGGCAACATTTACTTTTGTAGGACTGTGTTTCTCAGACATCCTTCAGGTGCAAGAGAATAGTTCTGATCTGCTATTTTCTTTGAGACCGTCATAATAAATTACTCCAAAGAGTAATACTATATATGCCCTAAACTGAAAAAAGAGGGAGCTTTCTTTTCATTTTGCAAGTTCTGCTTTGTCTGACTAAGCACAGACTATTTTTGAAGTACTGCAGACCCTTTAAAGTTATCAGAAACTAGTAGGAGAAACCTACCAAGCACTTGTGACAAACTTATGACAAGCAGTAAATCTACAGATAGAGACACACTCTTCTCCTCCCCATGGATCAGCTTAGAAAGAAAAAAAATACAGAAGTATAGAACATTACAAAGAAATAAACATTTTTATTGTTAAATGGTAGTCATGGGCACCATCAGTTTATTTTTTCCTTCCTGGGTGTGTCCTTTCTCCTTTAAGCACCATAAGATAACATAGCTTGTGAACAATATTTGATTAACAGTAAAAGAAACATTAAATCCTTATTTTACCACCTACAAACATTTGTAAGTAAAGGTAGAATATATTTCCCTGCAAAGCATATTTTAAAGTCTTTTATTTCAATACTACATTTTATTCATATATAATATCGTCAATAAACTAGGCAAAGGTCAACATTGTACATGATGAGAACCTAAAAGTTTCATATCAAGTACAATGATGTTTAAATTTCCTGTAACCTGCACTTGACACCAAGTGTAGCTACTCATAAGAAGCACACACCAATCACATACTGTAATGTGCCTGAAACAAGTAGGGTCTCACACAGCCTTAAATGTATTTTAATGAAAGGTATTGTCCCATGTAAAGGAAAAAAAAGAAGCATCACTACGAACAAATCAATACCTTAAATACCGGTAATATACCTACTCCTAATCTTACCCTTCCCCCCACAAGTTTCCTGGTCAGATAATTAGATTCCATCTACTAAAAATAGATTTCTTTCAAGCAGCCAATCTCTCTCTCTTAATTCATAGAGATCTGTCCCAAAGAAATCTTGTACAGTTTTAACAATAAAGATACAATTTGCTATACTGAATTGGACTGACAAAGAATGAATCCTTTACATTATTTAGTGTCATGTGCAATGAATAAAATACAGAGGCTTTACTTCCATGTAATAACTGAATTTTTATCCATTTTTTAATAAATAGGATTTTGCTTTAAAAATATGTATTTACTTTTAAATGCTACATTAAACTACTCTATAATATGTTTAAATACCTTAAAATTTAAAATAATATTCAAATATTACATGCTTGCTGCCAACATCTGAAAGCATGTCAGATCACTAGAAGGAAACCAATTGGGCTTAGCCACTGGAACGAAAGATTCTTGAAACGACAAAATAGGCTTTGACTTTTAGCCTTTTCTGACAGTGTTGGCAATTTTTTTTTCATTTCACTTCCTGCTAATGTTGTTCAAAACTGAGGAACTGGGTTCAGAATGTAAAAAGCAGAAACATTTTTCTTCTCTAATGGGTGAAGCAGTTAGGTATAAGAGGCTGAGACGTCACAGAGTTAAAACCTTGAAGGATGTGATGATATCAACAAATAAAATAACTAGCTACAGATAATATTTTCTTTATTGAATAATTTGTTTCTAAAGCCGAAACACTTTTCTTCTGTATCCTGCTCACACTTTTACTATAGCTCTGTTGAATTATTTTAAAAACAAAACTGTATTTTACGTGAACTCAATTTAAAACAAGTACTATAGACAATAGTATAGAAGACACAATTCTTAAAAAAATGCTTTATCTGAAATATTTTGGTGAGTTCGTATGGCTGCCCCCATTTCTTCTTAAACTTTTTTTCTGCTTTCGTTACGTATATTTTATTCATGTACTACATGTGGATAAGAAGAAAAACTATTTGTTTTTCCCCTCCTTTTGCCACCCATTACGTCAAATGTCAAGCTTTGTACAAATAGCAATATAATCTCATTTATGTTGCATAATTTATTTTTATTGTATTAAATGTAATAACAATTAAAATGTCTTTAAATAACTGTGTTTTGAGGCAGTCTAACCAATCCCAATTTTCAAGCAAAGGTGGTTAAAAATAAAATATCCTATGCCTGATACACAGAAACATGCTGTAAATGCAAAAAAAAAAAAAAAGATGAAAAAGCAATATTTAATGAAGTTTTAGGGGTTTATTCTGTAGTACCACATAGTACTGTAGTACTCTTCTGAACTAAGAGCAAATGATTCCTTTTTTTATCAACGATGGATTAAATCATACAAATGCAACTATGTCACAAGAAAGAATTTTACATCAGCAAATTGAATGATCCAAAATAATTTTTTTTCTTTGGATTGCAGACAATAGGCTTATTGATCAAAATCACAAACCCTTGCTTACTAGTTGTTAGAATTTAAAGCAATTTATAATATACATACATGCACACACAAAGTTTAAGAAATGCCAGATTATGTAGTGATAGTTTAAGTTGATGTAATGAGTATTTTAACATAATGCTCCCAGAGCAGCGTATGATAAACATAAGTTGCATTATTACTAAAGTAGGAAGTTAACTATTTCTGTTCTTTATAAACAGGATGCAATTTTAAATCTCTTAAGCTTTTTATAAATCAATCCTTTTACCCATTGAGATTTTTCAATCCAAGAACATTTTTATCAGATTAAATTTTTTAACCTATTTTACATTTCTGTATTTGCAGCACAGTGCATGCAAATAAATGGGGAAATGTACATGCAAACTTGGCTAAAGTTACACTCAGGTAACCCTCTCTTTTCCAAGTAATGACATCTGAGAAACATATTCCCTACATTATATAGTATCTATTAAAACAAACAAACAAACAAAACAAATCAGGCCCAAAACATATAATAGTTGCTCTGGTCACAAAAGTGGTTTCCTTCAAGAAAAGCACAGCACAGCACATTAACTAACAGGCATAAAATAATTCACAATACATACAATATCAGAAGTTTACATACCATCAAGAAGGCAAGAAAAAAGCAAGAAAGGAAGGCAAAAGAACAGGAAAAGATATGGGGAAAGGGAATACTACAAAATGACTACGTACTTTATATGGTATGCAATATTTTTAGAATAGGCCTGATTTTATTTTTATGGACCTAATATTGTAGCAGAAAAACCACAAACCAAAAGCATTTAAAGTTTTCTACATCCATTCCCTCCTCCTGACTACTTTTTTTTGAATTTTATTTTATTTCATAATAAGTAAAGTTAATAAATGGTAGTAAAAGTGGGAAAGAGATTTCCTAGAGAAATGTAGGCAGGAAGTTAAAGTTTTAAAGGTATCATCAGGTCTGATCTCCATGTAACCTGAGGCGTATACTTATTTATCAACAATTACATCACAGTTAGTTCTTGAGTTACATTACATTAAATAAGAACACCCAAACAGGTTAGGAGATGATGTTAATATTACCTTTGTAAAATGAGTGGGCAAAGCTCTGCTCAGGAATTAACTTGGCAAGGAATCCATGGTTCAAACTTGGGTGAGGGATAGATGGTATGACCACAACTGTGGAGAAAATCATGGAATCAAATGTGAGCCAGCTAGTATTCATGTGTGGCCTGGTCCACTGTGGATCCATGACAGATATCCTATCTCATTGAAACATGCAAATATGGTATTATCAACAAAAAATGCATTTCTAAAGGAAGAAAACAAGTTCTGTATCAAGAGATAGGAAACAGCATACCTATTATTTGGGCACTTCAAGAGCAACGTTCATGGGGAAAAAGAGAGACAGATATATATATATACACACACACGCACACAGGCAAGACAATCATGGGTGAAATAGTTCACTGATAATAGCAGTTTCTTAGTGCAGAACCATAACATATAACTAGGAAGGCAGAAAAAATTATGATTTCTCATAATTGACTACGTTCATGTAGTATATTTAAAATGGAAAGCCTACAAGCACATATACTTTAAAAATTATGTATAAGTAGTAAATTAAAACATCATGATGAATCAGAAAATAATGACTAAATGTAAATATGACACAAACTGGAAGATAAATTCTATGAAGAATAAAAATTAGCAACTCCATAAATGAAGAAAGTAATTAAAAATCAAAACAAGAAGAAAAACATACATAAAAAGCTTCACGGACAAATTCAGTTACTGTTTTCAGCTCTTTTAACACAGAAGGTAGTTACAATCAATCCAATCAGACTTGGAAAAACCTACTGAACTGACAGTGTAAAATATTTGAAACAAAGCGGGGTAATGTTTGGATCCCTAATTTCTGACGGGTTCTGACAGCTAACAGACTCCCTCTCCCTCAGGCTGAAGAACACATGCTAGTAAAAACCACTACTACTACTAAAAAAAAAATCACAAACAGTTCAGCCAAAGAAGGCAATAGAAATGCTTTCTTTTTATTATATTGTTTCCATAGGCTTTTAAATGCAAGCACCAACACAGCAGGACTCCAAGAAAGCACTCCACCACTACACTTGCAAAAGCCTCCTCATTCAAACAAAAGGAGCTCACGTGGGCAAACAGCTGTTTGCTGTTTATACATTTCATAGTATAGAGTTAAAGATATCTGTTCTTATTAACAAATAAGAGATTCAGGAAGTTGTGCTGATCAACTACATTTTACTTCACAGCTTTAACTCCATCAGGCACCTTGTTTCTTTTTAATTATTTTCAAATTAAAGAAAAAAAGGCATAAAAAAGCAATATGCAAATGAAAATTAGTTATACCCTGTAAGCAAATATACAGAATAACTGAAATCTGCCACTGTATGTTAAAGAACTGAATTATTATAGAGGAAGAGTAGCAAGTAATTTCCTATTAGGATCTTAAGCTATTCACTAAAAATACTTTGTTGTAAAATAAATACAGTTCTAAAAAAAATCTGCATATCAAAAAGAAAAATAAAATTTGAAGAAAACAAATGTACCTGTACTTGTTGGTGAATTTATTTCTTGTCTGATATTTCTACCTGCCTGGCTCCCAGATCTTGCAGTTTCTCGTTGTGGTTCAAGTATATCGCGGTATTTGGAGACCATCAGAACGGAAATAAAGTAGACTACCGCCAAAGCTAAGAACTGAGCCTGTTTGCTGTCATCCTGTGTTGGAGAAAAAGGAACAGATTATAATATCAGGCATTTCCATGGAATTTTCACACAAGATCATCACAAGGCTTTATAAATAACAGCTTTCTGAAACGTTCCATCTGTTAACATAGTAGTAAATGGATTACGTAGAAGATTTAATGGATTTTCAGTGGAGTACTATGCACACAGCATGTATTAAGTACGGAATCTTACAGGTAATTTGGCAACTACACAAACCTTCGGGACTGTGGAGTCAAGGGGTTTTTCAGTCTAGAGGCCTGATTCTGCTCTGAGAGTTGTAATCAACATAGGTCATAACTGATTTATTCTGGCTGGGATTATTTGGCTAATATAAAATCAAGTCTGACTGTTAAACACAGTTAGCTACTAATCTCAAAAGGCTTACCAGTATAATTTTAAAGTGCAGAAAGTGGCTGGTAGTTACAAAACCACGAGCAGATGGTTTGCAGATAATATATGAAGTGCAAGGATACGAAGGATATTTTTAATTCCAGTACAATCAAAATCTCTTTCAAAATATAAGTGATAATTTTGCAGAAGAAAGAATTACAGCACACATTACTCACCACATCACGAAAAACAACTGCTCGTAGACGATTAATATCAACATCCTGAAGAAGCCTATCAGGGTCTTTTATAGGAGAAAGATTGCCAGGGACATTTTCAAGGGGAGTCTAAAAATAAGAAGTAGTGAGATTTTTTACCCCCCCAAATATCAAAGCATTTCTGTTAGAACCTTAATTTGATGCTTTTTTTAGATATTGCATCAATCTTAGATGCTTTTTTGCTACCAATATACTTCCAACATAATACTCAGACAAGGATTCTAGAAATAAAGCAATGTTTTGAATTATTGTCTTCATACTATTTAGATATAAATTGTTACATCTTCCCAGTACCTCAGAACAACTGTCTCTTCCCAGAGTTAAGATGATAATTTGCACACAAAACATTATTTCTCATTACAGTTGTTTCATAGCAGTACAATAAATTATTTCTAATGTGTGCTAAATTTAAAAAAGATGAGCAGAAATATTTTAAAAATCAGTTTATGTTCGTTTTACTGTGAATTGTTACAGACTACTTACGGAATAACTGCTATTATTACAAAAGCATAGAGTAGTATGCTTTCTTTAAAAAATGATAATGTATTACAAATGATGCCTAAACACCTAAAAGTCTCCTTATACTGACTTGCTTTGCACTGAATGTGATAACGTGGAGAAATGTAATGTTTTTGTGAGATTTAATGACATAATATTGTGAAAGGCGCTGAGTTTGTAAATGCTATCTGAAAAAGTCTTTAGAGAAGAAAAACCACTGAATTTAGTAATGAAAATCTATTAACAAAAAAAGGAATCCTTGACATCACACACAGTGTTGTATTTTAGTCACAGGCTGTGCTAAATTCTTTGAGATTTTAGTTTCAGGACTCTCAAAGTCTTAAAGCTGTAGACAAGTTAAAAAAAAAAAAAAGATGAACAATGAATTAATGAAACTAGAAAAACTAAGCTGTAATTGAATATTAAACAAGTTTCATTACTAAAATCAGAAAGAAAATACTGATGTCTAATATGCATGCAAAGGTCTGTCGAAGTTACCGGGACTCAGGTGTTCCACCAACAAAGATGTGATTGCGGGATTTCATCAAAACTGCAAGCACCCTGACAGATTAAAAAAGCTGTGCAGGTATATATGACAGATGTGAGTAAGGGGACTTGCTCTTTGAAGTAGACCAAGCAAGAGTGAAAAAGCTGCTTAAAATTGCTCCAGTCATACTACTGCGTTAACTTTTTCTTGTTTTGAATAAACCGCCCCACATACTTTTACTTTAAGCCAGTTAATAGCAAAAACCTAAGCTTTTGCCAAATATTTGAGAAGGCAGTTACAATTCTTTTCTGATCCTATAAAGCAGTGGTACAGACTTGTCATTGCTGTTGGTAATTGAAGACTGGGTTACCTTGGTTGCTGCTGCTGAAGTTACACCCTGAAGAGCGTCTTGAGTTTTACTGCTGATTAATGACGTCTTGTTCACTCTCTCTCTCTGTCTTTGCCGACATTCTAAGCAGTTTCTCACAGCCACGCAACAAACTAAAAAGAAGTTATGAAAATACTACAAATGAGAATATTTTCTCATTATTATAGTCAGAACATCAATTTGCAGTCTGTACATCTAGTTTGATATGTCAATAACCATGTCCAAATAGTAAGTGCAACATACTTCTCACGTTAGAGACTCTGTCAGTACTAAGAAAGCATTATGGTGACTTACTAATTTCATTCTTTAGTTGAACAACTAAATGTTTTATCTTACTGCTATATCATCATATTAAAATTTGAAAATTATTAGTCCCTGAACTGGATCTCTCATATGTTATTGATCAGTTATCAACACTTAAAATTTGAAAGTACTTATGTACAGCTAGAATAGAAAAAAAATAGTAGGTGGTAATTTAGAATTTGATGAAAATTGATCACTGAGAATAAACCACAAGTTTTATATCAGGAGGAGTATAATTATCAATGACCTAATAAGTGGTATGAATAATAACAGGACAAAATCTGAGTACAAAAATTATTCATAATTTGAGAAATGAAAAAGTATGTGGGAGATAACATTAGCAAAACAGATCATGCCAGATGACAGTCAAAATTTAATGTTCACAAGGATAAAGTGATATAGTTTGCATAGAATAGTTTGAATCATTCATAAATTTTTAAATTCCCTAAATTAATTGTAATAGTATATAGCAAATAGTAAATAGTGAAGAGAGGTGCCAGACTGTTGCAATATATATTAAGGACTACAGAGTCTCCACATGCATCCCATGCTCTTAATCTTACATAGCCTATAAGCAGTCTTCCAAATCCATGGAGACTGTATAAGGAAACCTGCAACAGGCAGGTAACAAAGCAGTTTTAAGAAAAAAAGAAATTCTCCATTTACTTACTTATATTTAATTTTTTTACTCCCCCAAAATATATACAACTTGAAATAACATAAGAAAGAAGAATTTCAGACATGACGTTTTAACTTATTCTTGTGCCTAAATTGAATCAACCTTAAAACTGTATCAAATCAATAATAAACAGGATTTTTATTTTACCACATCATAGTCAGTACAAGTCCTTTCCTACATGTGTCACTATTTGATCCATCTGTAGCTCATTGATTTGTAAGTAATTATTTAATACACACTGTCTGCCGACTTACCAAGCCTTAGGCACTGTCGCATTAGACCTCCAGAAGACATGTTTTTTTCAGCTTCAATCTCACTAAAATTTAGAGAACTGGCAAATACTAGTACATCAACCATTGCCATCAGACGGCTGAGAAAAGTTACTGCTGTCTCTGCTGACATTCCTTGTGTCACTTCAATATTTTCCAATTCAGTCTTTAAAAGGAGATAAGTGAATTAAACAGTTTGAACACAACCGAAATATAAAGACAGCACATACACATACAAATCTAAATTGTTACACTTCATGACAAATACATTGAAAAGTTAATTAAAAATCTCCTACTATTACCATTAACATAAACCGTGAGTGAAATTCAAAGTAAGACAGCATGAAGAGTGAGAAAATTGTTTACATTTACATGCTGTAACAGACCAGAAAAAGTCTAATATAAATGAGAAAGTTATTAGCAATTACATAAAGTGTGGCCAGGTAGTAAAACAATGCATGGTATATAAGGGTGCAATGTACTCTTACATTATTCCATAGGCTAAGCAAACTGACAGGTAACAGATGAAAGTAATTACGCTTTTACATTCCTTTAGACAAACAAGTAAATGTGAGGAGTGGAGTGGGGAAAACTGGACAGTTTTGCCCCGTTTCCACAAATTGATTCTCCCTGGGAATGCTTATACCATATAGGAAGCTGACAGAGTCCAATTCTTCTGGAGATCAGAAGAAAGTATGTTTACCCCCTCATGACAGCAACAGGGGGGAAGTGAAAACATGACAAGTTATGTGGCGTGCAGCTCACATTTCCCAGAGGATGGCCATTTATTTCTTAATGTAGTGTTGGACTCTCCTTAATGGGAATCCACAGAAAAATGCTGCATGTTCTCAATATTTCTGCAATCTAAAAGAGGGTCATGTTTTTCTGCAAAAAGATACTTAGATGTCCAGAGTCATGTTTTCAAATGCATTCAGGTATCTAACAGTGCAGATAAGTAAGTAAACAGTAAGTTTAATTAAAAAAAAAAAATCTGCTTAAACACATTTACCTCTGGAGCTAGGCAAAATTGAAAACGGGATTTAGTACTTGACTGTGTCCACATTTATATGCCTAAATACTATTTTAAAAATTGTTTACACATGGCTGATTTATATTGATTGACAGCAAGATTTCAGATCCCAGGGCTTGTCTGAACACAGAGTTCAGTCGCTTTGAAAAGTATTACTTTTGTTGTGTTTGTTTTTATTCATTTGCTTAGAAATATCTATGAAAACGATTCAAAACATATTTTCTGCTGTTAAGGCCATTTCCTTCCAAAGAAAAAGAAACACAGAAAAAAAATAATCCTTCATTTCCATACTTCTAAAAAATTAGTATCCTCACTCAATAGTCACTTTTTAGAATACTTTACATAAAAATCATAAAAGTGCGAACTGTGCCAAACAGTATAAAGGAAACAACTGTTTTGAAAGAGGAAGGATATAATGTGGCATGTGTCACCACAATGATAGATACCACTTCATTTAATTTCTCTTAAGGATGTAACATGTCAGTTACATGGGTGATTTGGGAAGGACTGTCATCTGTCTGATCTGCCCAACAATATCAGAAAAATGGTAAAATGACAACTCTCAGAAGAACTATTTCCAGACTTTCTCCTTTAGCCAGGTCTCCCCCGCTTAGTGTGTGTTGTGTTCCTACTTTTTGGAAACATGAGTTGCTGGTTTTTTATAACAGACTGGAAGATCATTTTGGAAAGCACTCATCCAAAGAAAATAGATTTGCAAAAATCTGTAGCCGTAACAGTCTGCTAGAAAAACTCATAGGTCTTTACAGAAACTTGAACTTCAGACTCATGCTTGAAATAACATCAGGCTTGCTAGTAGCCAAATGACTGCTTGCTGTTGACTTTTCTCAAGCTTCAACTGTATTGCATCAGTGTCTTAAATCTACTCAGTACATCTATTGCTTTTTTTTTCAATTATGTAATAAATTCATTTTATATAACATTTTACCAAGATTTTTGCAAACTTTGAAATGGGAAAAAAAAAAAATATCTTTTTTTACAAATCTCCCTAAAATTCTGCTGGATGGAAGAAAAAAAAAAAGACTGACTTTTTACAGCAAAACTTACCATCAGTTCTACCTGTTAAATACGGCACATTGATATTCTAATAATGTTTAAAATAAGCTCCATTGTTGACCAAGCCGCCTTCAGGTATTAGCAATATTTTAGATAGGTGTAGCTCAAAAACTCTTTAAAAAGTGAACTGATCACCATTTCATGACTACTCAGGATACTTTAAGAGCAGTAACAAGTCTCTCATACAATTAACATGTTCAGGGCCTAAAGAGTTTTTCTATTGACAACAACATTTATAACTTAAATTAGCTCACAGACCTGCCTACGTTCAGTCTGGTAACAGTAAGCATCATACTTGACAGTGCACTAAGTTACTCAAGAGAAACATATTAGGAAAAGTTAAAAATTAC